TGGTGAATATAAACTGGGTGTATAGGAAATCTGTATGGAAACTTCGTACATGAAATGGATTCTGATTTCGAATACTGCATTAACTTTGCCTTGCTATCTCTGTTTTCCTATTACAAGTGTGTGCATACCATGCTGTTTCAAGGAAAATAACAGTTTCTAGGCATGCAGCACCTACTGTAAGGTCTAGAAATTATACTATGCTTGTAGCTATAGTTATTCATTTTACATGGTTCAACTTTTAATTATAAATCACTCATAATCATCAGAATTTCCATTAGAAAGTACAGAGTTCTTCCTCTTTCTTCCTCTGAACACTGGAGAGAAAGAAAAAAATATTTGTCCTTTTTCCCTATGACTGAGAAAGAGCAAAGTCTTGTGGGCTTTACTGTTTTTTCCTGCTCCATATAGAATGGTAAATTACTTAAATAAGCACCAAGCACAAGAAGAGATTAATTTGTATCAAGTGAAGTTCAGCTCTTCTTTTGTTAAAAGCTGTAATTGACCTCTTTTAGTGCCCATGTTACTTTTGTCACACACATTCAGTTGTATTACCTGGCTGTTTATTCACAGCTTTCCCTGCGAGACATGCTCCAGGTTTATTCACTGAGCTGCTTTTTTGCCATTTGCAAATTAAGAGTATGAAACTCTGAATAAATTACCCTCCTTTTCCTGCTGGGCATACTGAGCCTTGCTGAGCTTATCTTAAATACTTTTATAATACAGACTTTATATATTGTTCCATATTTGGAGTGTTTCGTATGCACTGAGCTACACATCCAAAAGGTCGATAGAATCATAACTGTTACCTATTCACCTGTGAATAAAACAACTTTTCATCAGGCCTGTACTCAGTCATCTGAGGGGGGGGGGGGGGGATGCATACAGTATGCACTGCTTGGCAGTGCAAAACCATCCTGTGCTGCACTCATCCTGAGATCTGCATCTGCCTCGTCTTGCATGCTTGCGTACAGCAATTCTGTCACTGGCCGTGCCCTGGGGTGAAGATAGCATAACATGGCGAAAAAAAACCCCTCAAAACAAAGGGAATACAAAGCTCTTCCAGAAGGGGGCATTCTTTTTCTTCCAAGACTCAGCTTTCTTTGGCTTCCTTTAATTACGCATTTATATTTAAACTTGTTTTCATTCATTAATGAGAATTTAGCCCCTCAAAGGTCTGTATGAGGTTTTCAAAGTTATTGTAGATGAACTCAATTACCCATGCATTGACTTTAATCTGAACCACTTTATGCTGCTAATGTTAAAATAGTAGTAAAAATGGTAAGAATTGAAAATGAGTATTGTCTAGAAACAGTGTAATAATATACAATGCCTTAGATCCAAAACATTAAATCTGCCTTTAAAGATTAAATATCTGTGGTGAAGCGCTAAATTCACCCACAGTTCAGCTGCACTGGCATGTGGCCCCACTGTTCTGGTTGACAGCGTAAGTAAAATACTCTTAGCGGTCAAAGCAGTTTTCTAGTCTGGAAGGCCCTTCAATTAGCTAAGCAACTGGCTTTCTGAAGCAGAGGATCACGTGCTATTTTGCTGTTAGACAGTCCAGAGACTTAAGACTTCAGCAGAATAGTAATTTGATAACGCTTGTATGTATTACAACAATGTCTTTTTGCAAAGCACTCTGATTTCAGCCAGCAATACTGAAGTGCTTTGCCAAATGGACCTCTCAGACATGACCAGACTCTACTAGCATATCAAACAGGACAGACAGAAAAGGAGAAATTAACCTTTTAAACTCTTTAGCCCAGTTTCACATAAATACAACTGCTTTGAAATCAGTAGAAATATTACTGATATGCACACACATACTTGACATCAGAACTTAATCCACTGTATTTAATTATGTTGAAAATAACAGGTTTGACCAACCAGTGTTTTCTAATGCTGAGGAAATTAAAGCTCCATAATAGGAATCGTTAGTGAAGATCAGCTTACTTCTGTACAAGTGTAGCATGTTTAAACTAAAAACTGATGTGAATGGTTGCATACAAAGTAAACTTTAATGAAGTGGTAAATAGCAGTTGCATTTGACAGATGGTTGGTGTAGTTGTTTGTAAGATTAGAGCATTAAATTTCTTCATAGCTGTGTTTTCTCATCCAATTTTAACTATTTCCTTCTATTTCTTTTATTCATTAGAAAGCCTACCTAAATGTGAAGATACAACTGATGAAAATTTTTTGATCAGATCATGGATAGTAAAACCAGGATAAAGTTCTTATGTTAATTTTTACTGTCAGTGCTTTCATTGCTGTTAATAATTTTAGAACACTTAACAAGATATGGTAAGTAATTAGAATTTCCTTTTCATTGCTCTCTCTTCCAGTCAATTCCTTTTCTAGCACAATGCATGTTTTTAACTGCTGCAAATATCCTGTGAAAATGAGTTCACCTTTTGATTATTTTTGTATGTAAAAAGTACGTTCTATTATATTATTGGTAACACCTGCAACTTAAGAAATTGCTGTTCTTATATCCTGTGAAAGGGGATATAATCATTCCTTTTTTTTTCAGTTCCTCCATGATATTCGTAAGTGTACACAATATTTCAACTTCTATCAAAACTGCCTGAAGTGTTGTCATCAATGTATTGTTTCGCTACCTGGAATCACTCCACGTTTCTGATCACCTTCTTTCTGTCCTCCTCTTCCAAATCCTCTTTCTGGGCTGGCTCTATGACCAGGACTGCAGAGTGCAGTCATGATGTGGATGCCTCATAGATATATGGCATAATCTCCTTTTCATTTTTGTTCTCTAATAATTTGGAACATTCTGCTTAACTTTTTATTTGCTGCTGAATGCTCTGGAAATTTTCAGAGAGCACATTCAGAGTACTATGAATATTTTGTAATGTCATCAGACTTTTCACTTAATTATTCAAAAGTTTCTGATGAATATGTTAGCATGGATCTGTGTGGGACTTTACTAGTAATCACCTTCCATTGAGAAAACCAACCACTTTTTCCTACTCTTTTTTTCCTGTCTTGCAGCCAGCAAACAAGGCAAAAAAGAATATTTTTTGTTCTTAAAATTTCTGTGAGTTTATTCAGTATGGAATTCAAGATTTACTTGGCTGGAAGAAAGCATGAAGAGCAAAAGAGTGAACAACATTATAACTTTGTGTTAATGAATGTTACATACTACTAGATAGTGGTGTGGGTGAAACTCCCATTTGCTGTGTGTATTTATATACCAATAGTAAGGTATGTTGTATTTAATTTATTAATTATTCACTAAAGTCAAATAATCAGCTTCATTGATGTTTTATAATTCTTCAAAAAGATGATAACTGAACTAGCTAAATTATTAAGGAATATTTCTTCTCTGTTAAAAAACCTGACTTTAAGCATTATCAGTTTTAAATTATTACACCAGATGGATGGAAGATAGATCAAAAAGTAGGAATGTTCACCAACTATAGCAAAGGGTAACATTTTGTGTACTAAGATGACTTGCACCATAAGGGAAGATGTTATTTTAATGCTATTCTTCATTCTAGAGAGAAGTATTTCATTCTGTGTAAGACAGAAAATACAAATCACATAATGAAAAGTTATCAATATGCATATGTTTTCCAGCATTTTGATTGCTTTTTTTGCCTAATATTTGCATTTAATAAAGATTCTGACTCCTTTGAAATGCACCTCTTAAAATATATTTACCAGAAGCAAAAGAAAAATAATTTGCAAGATGCTGCAGCACTGATTTTCTGAAGTGATATAATAACTCTGTCTCTCTAAGCAGACTTTTTGTGCATAAAACTTGGGTCCTCTGTGCTTGAACTGATTCAGTTGAAAGAAGAGCCACTACTCAAAAAATAGATGTAGAGAAAATATTCCCAATGGCTATCACCATTCCTGAGGTTTGACTTCATTTCTAATTAGAAATGATCATTTACCAGCAATGATCATGTTATATAGTTCCTCCATTTATTCCCATTTAAATGAGTAGGCTGTCTGGGTGCTACTGCGTACCCATGTATATTATGTATTCTCCCACACTTACGCAGAGTGACCAGACTTCAAGATCTCAGCCACACTGGGAAAGAGGAAACACGGCCTTAAATTTAGTAGGGGAAAAGGGGGAGTCAGAAATACTTGTCTTGCAAAGTCCGAATAGAACATATAAGGACTAATACGTATAGCTGTAGACATATGTATAGCAGTATGCCAACCCAAATCTAAGACACTTGATAATTACCCAAAGGTAAGGTTTAATACAAATGCAGTTCAATCCTTTAAATCTTATTCTTATTATGCAGTAAGATAATAAAGTGCAACAACAGGATGGAAGCTAGGCAGATGGATGGAAGAAAACTAATTGATGCCTAGGGTGTGCCACAGATTTTTTTTTTTTAAATTATTTTCTTTAATCATCCCACTGGGCCTCAAGAGTTTGTATTTCCTTCTCTGTGGATACTGTACATGGAATGCTAGCCCTGTGGAAAAGCAAAGTGCTTGAAAGCATGTGATTCTCAAAAGAAAACTTACATTTTATATGGAGTTTGTCACTAAAAGAGATCTCCTCTTAAAATCTTCTGCAGTTAATTGTCCTTAATTTTTACTTGGGAGAATGGAGATGAGAGAGAAATCAAGAGGTATGCTTATGAAATAAAAGATGTATTTGCAGGTGATAGCTTAAGGAAGAGTGAAGTCAATTAAATTCAGAAAAAGAGAGATGCCACTGCTTGTCACCAGAGATTTAGACCAAGTGTCACTGTACATATTTTGACAGTATGCAAATTTGATAGCAGTAGTCTAGTGGCAGCATTTTGTACAATATAGGGTGCTGATACCTAGGCTCTTTGAAAAGATTACAATGAGATTTCATTACAGGAATACTGAAGATTAATTTATGTAGCAGTACTTTTCACCAGAGATAGAGATAATGCCCACATGGCTGCATTGCAGAGGCTTATCAGGCATAATAGGAGAATCAGGTGATAGGAGAAAGATAGGTTACATGATCCATTTAATGCTCCTACAATTTGCAGTTCTGCATTCCCAAGACAAGGATACAAGAACTATATAACTGAAACTTAAATAATTTCTCAGGGCCATACCATTTGGGGAGAGAAACTGGGTGAAAACCTTCTGCTAAACATCTTTTTCCATGCTTGTGCTTGGATGAGGGTCCCTCCCACCTGCTAAGCAAAATTATGAGGGTCCCTCCCACCTGCTAAGCGAAATTATGAGGGTGTTTGTACATTGGTGATGGATCAGAACTGCTCCATCAGTGATTCCTGTGTGTATCTGTAAAGCAAAAATCATACCAAGATCCTTTTGCCTAATAAACATATGGTAAGGGAAAAAGGGAAAGATCTTTAACATTATTAGATGAGAAACCCACCTTTGGTAATGTTATTGCTAATTTACACAGTGGAGACTGGTGTTGATAGTCACCATATGGCAAGGGTTGTTCCCATTTCTTGGTTATCATCTCTCTGGTAATTTTATAAAACACTGCTGTTCCTTTGTAATGAGGTAAACTATGGTTACCAAATTCATCCACTTCTTTAATTTGGAGCTCCAGCCTGGGTTTTCTTTGTGAATGAAAAATCAGCCTGTAGACTTTTCCAAAATCTTTTCCATTCTCTGCAGTCCATTAAAAAAAAAAAAAAAAAAAAAAAATTTTTTTTTTACACTGTATTTAGATGTGTGGCATCTAAAATAATTCATTAGGGTGAGTCAAATAGAGCTAATCACATAACATCTGGTTGTTCTTTATCATTATTATTACTTTATATTGAATGTATATTGAAGATCTGAGGTTCAAACATTCCTGCCAGACTGCTTCAGGAGTTGAAATGTCTTCATATTTAGCTGTCTTAGCCCCTGAATTGCTGGCATAAGGGATAAGTGGTGAAGGTTGTTCTACAAGTTGAAAAGTAAGTAACAAGGAAAGGGATAAAGTACATAACACAGAGAGAAATAAAAATGAAATGGTGTTGTGAATGGAATTAAAAGTATATGCTTTCTGGTTATTCAGGATGGGTATCTGTCTATCTGTAACAACAAAATGAATGGAGGCAGAGAGGTAGGTGCATTTTTAGGATTTGTAATTCCATTTTATTTGATATATCTATCACAGGACCATTTGCTTACATGAGCAGGCATTCCGTGGGGGCCAGAGACTTCTCTTTTAGAAGAATAATCCTTTCTTTAGGGTGAACAGAGTTTTCAGTGGGGGAGTTTATGTACAAAATGTTCAGAGGGCCACATATATATTTCTATGTTCTTTCCAAAACTGACAGAAGAGACTATACATAATTTTGGGTGAAAACTTTTCTGAGGCTTCTTATCTCTTTACCCTTTAAGCAAATCACTGAATGATGGCAGCCACTGCATGGAATTTTTGAGGCTGCTAATGGAAACAGCATAACAACTCTCTCTCATCACCTCAATTCATAGTGCAACTCACAAAAAGCAACATTTTGCCCTGGATTTCAGTGTTTAATCTTGCTCACTTTAAGTGAATTTACACAGATAAAATAGCCAACTGTTTCTTTTTGTTTTGAATCTGTTTAATGCCTATCAAATATTCTTTATATTAAAAAGCCATTAATGGAATCCTGCCCTTTTGAAATAAAAGATAAAACCCAGCTGTTTCTGAGGGACCAGGTTTCACAGAATGGCAGAGGTTGGATGAGATCTCTGAAGACCACCTTGTCCAACCCCCTGCTGAAAACAAGGTCACCTAGAGCAGGTTGATCAGGATCTTGTTCAACTAGTACATTTTATTTTTCAGTTGGAGCAGTTTCCCTTGTAGTTCCATGCACCTATCATTTACAAGAAATAAAGAACTGAAATAATGAAATGTGCTGTGACTAACCACAATCTACTAATGTTCACTTAGAGTATTTCTGAATAGCTGAGGTGATTGATAATGTTCATTCAGATGCATGAATTAATTACCTTACCTGAAGCAAAAATATTGCCTCTAAATCTAAAATGAATCTGCTCTCCTTCTCTTAATGGGAAATGTTGTGTAGGTTCTGGGGGACCAAAGTAGCCCTCCTCATGGAGATTTTGAAGTTCACAGGTCAATTCTCTGGATGCAGAGAGCAAAACTACTATTTTATATGGGTTCTCTCTTTTCCGATACAGTATCACATTAGCCATTGTGCTATGAACAGCTTCTTCCAGAGCCTGAGCAAAGAGGAGAAGATATGTGTTTTCCAAGAGGAACGAAAAGCGAATGACCACAAAGCTGTATTAAAAAAAAAGGCAAGAAAATAAATAACTCAATTTAAAATCATTTTATCAACTGCTAACAATTTATTATGCAAAATAATACAGGGCTCAGTCTCCAATGGACATTTTGCTACCTCCTTTTCATTCTTGTTTCCAGCATACGAATGGCTGGAAATTTGCCTGCTTCTGTAGTTTAGAGTACATTGACCCTGTATCTATGAATTCAAATACATACAAGTTTTAGATGAAAGTGAGAGAATATTTCCTAATCAGAAATTCAAAAAAATACTATGGTTTTGTAGTTAGAGAGCTAAATCAATTTTCAAATTAAGATTAATATCTGCATTTCCTGTTTCAAGTTTTCTATCTATTACATTGTGTACATTCTCTAGACGAAAAATATTTAAACAAATTTATATTTTCTGTAATTATGAGTAAAAAATCTAAATAATCTTATACTGCAAAGTGGAAGAAAGAGATGCTGGCAAGTTAATAATTACTAGTGGATGATTTCTTTACTAATTTCCATTGATCCGTATACTTGGAAGTAAATATTTTAGTAAATAAAATTTTATTACATTATTCATACATTACCTTTCTAAATGCTCATTTAGTTCAAATGATACAAGCCCATTCCGTGCATTCTGGATAATAACATCATCAAACACCTTCCATCCCTCTTCTTTGTTTCTGTGACCTAATAATTTCAAAGTATCACTGTGATTCTCCCCATTTTTTCTCACAGAAGCACTCACAGCCCTGGAAAGCCAAGGAATTATAGGAAAAAATACAATGAAAAATAGATCCTGCAGAAAGAGTAAGCTTGCATTTGTAGCTCTGCTGTCCCTTCTGCTTTCCTTGATGATTACATGTGTTTTTTCCCACCTTGCTGAAAATCTACATCTGGAACTATACTCCAGAGTATGTAAGTGATATAATTGTTAAGAGATTTCTTTTTTTTTTTCAGTTCTGCAAAAAGAGGGGAAAAAAGGAAAAAGAAAGGTTTCTATCTATACGAATCTAGTTTAATCTATCATTTAATATCATGCGCAGTAATTATTATGGATTGGTTTTGAGTCATTCATTAAGATTTAGATTCTCTAGAAGTAGATCTCTGGAAAAAAAAAAAACACCACCAAACCCAAACCACCCACCTCTTCTTCCAAAAGCAAATATTACTCGATAACCACACAGGAATTTAGAAAAGGAGGTATGACTGCTATACATTCTTTCTTTCAACAGAGAAAATAAAAGTACCTTCTCTTCAAATCAGGTGATTACTGTGATATCACACTCAGAATCAAGCAACTGTGACATGACATGCTCTGGCTAATTTGTTCCAATGAATGAAACATGAGGGGTTTTTGCAGAAGCCCATAACTCTCCTCTCACACACACCTCTCCTTATCAGTTTTTTAAAGCTGATTGTGAATAACCCATCCACCTCAAATGCACACCCTATGTACAATCCAAAAAAGAAAATACTCCAGACAGGACAGCCTAAGCATTTCTCAAGTATACAGCCTCAGCCTATGCGCACATTCAGGAAAACGTTGGCATCATTTTCTAAGGAATTTGTATAGAAATAAGCAATCAAGCCATGGTCTTTTCATGGATGTGCTTTGACTGAAAATCTAAAGTGCCATTTAGACTGGCATTAAGAACAGACAGATGTCATGAGGGTACTGCCACACAATTAAATGCTTCTGGTACAGGAAATGAAATTTGAATCTTCTATAAACTGGCATGGGCACCCTTCCCAAATCTGAAGTTTGTGATAAAGAAAGATGTCTAGTCTAGGAGACCAGTGTGAGTGTAGAGCTCTTTAAAACATGATCTGAGAAGCTTTTCAGAAATGGAAAGCTAGAACATTGTCTGCCTTCTCTGTCTGTATCTTGCTTATTTTCAACACAATCATAATCTTGACATGTAGTTGAATTTTGAAAAAGATAATGCTTAGCACCATAGAAATAAGCTAACTCTTTAATGACCTGAAGTAGAAGTACTTCAAAGCTCACTCTTGTCCCAAGCTAGTCCCTACCAAGAAATCCCAGTAAGCGTTTCTGAACTTGGAGTTGCCCATGGTAGCGGAACTGGAAGGACAACAATCAAATGGTAAGTTCAGACTGATTTTTTTTCCTGCATGAGATGGTAAAAACAGCATTTATTTTGCTGACTGTCAACATAGATGAGGTCAGCTTTGGCCTTTTTCTCCACCAAAAAGTTTTATCCATATACTTGTGTGCATGATGGATAAATGTTATTGAACTGCAACTGAAATTTAGAGATTTTTTTAGGAGTCCCCATGTTTTAATGCTTTTTTAAGATATTCCAAAAGGTCTAAGTTTTAGAAATTTTGTAGTGAGTGCTTTGGAAAAATCTGGGCCTTTATCTAGTCACAAAACTGACCTACTCCAAACCGTGCGTCATAAATTTTGACTCAGGTAGCCCTTGAAATGTGTAAAAGTAGAGATCAGAAAATCTGAAGGCCAGGGTAGCCAAACCACTGACTGGTAAGATAATGATCACAGCAGCTTTGAGATATGGTTATTTTCTATGTTCAATGTTTGGCTTTGGTGAAAATGGCTGAACATTTCTTGCTGGAAAAACGCCACCCATTTTTCATCCTGACTCCTGCTAGAAATATAATGGTCAGCATATTTAAAGTTTTTACAACAAACATTACATGAATTTTCCTGGTGAAGCTATAGCATGAGAATTGTGGGGGTTTGCGCCAGTGTTTCTAACAATGTTTCTAAGTATAGCAGAGTGTATTAAGGAGCTAACACACTTTTAATACAAAAAATTATCAGTAAGCAACTGTTTAAATTAATTCATTTTGATGTTTTGAAAATGCTGAATATGTAGTGAAGTTGTTCTTACCAAGGATGGTATGCCATAGCAACCCTCTTCACTGTAGCACTATTGGCTCTTGCATGTTCTGTCTCACCTCCTTGCCTTCTTTTTTCTGGGTTTGGAGGACAGGGTAGAGTGATAGTGACTGAGCTGTTCAATGGTTGGGCTGAAGGATGCTGGACATAAACCAGTGCACTAGTAGATACCACCGAGTGGTACATATCGTGTCTTGCTTTCAATATGGAAACCAATGATGGTTCAATTGGCTGAACCTAAATAAGGAAAGCAATTGTACAGTTAATTTGCAAATTAACAAATACTTTCTTATGTGCCTGCTTTTTTACAAATTTATTTATCTTTTGGAATTGGATTAGACTATCACAGAAGTTTTAGTCTCCTCTCTATAACCCAGTAACAAACCTATCAACGTATTAGCACTTTACACAATGCACAAGCAAGTACTTGAAAGTCATCAAAAACTGGAACCTTTACTGACTAAAATATTGTGATTGTTTTGTTCCTGCGTTGAGTTCAAGTTCTGAAACTCCTGAATTCCCTTAGAGTTTGATAATTTTCTAAGATTTTTCAAATCTGTGGTTTTTTCACTGTTAATTTTAGCTTCTCTGTACCTCAGAATCAATGTTTTTATGGGGGGAGAAACATTATAACCAAAGCAAATTTTGAGATTAGTCTCAGCCTAAGGCTAAGAGGTGACAAAACCTTCTGTTGCACTGCCAGGTACAAATGATGAAGATCAGGTGAGAAAAATTGTTCCATTAACTTGAACACTGGGCCAGCCTGTTGAAGTTTGGAGTTGATGCTTATGTCATTGCTGAAAACAAGTGTATTTTCTGAAATATAGCAAACAAAGGTAGATGGTTCTTTTTAGCTAGAGATACCATGTTGACTACTGACAATATTATGTGGCTTTAATGAAGCTGACAGGAAACCATTTTCTGTGTATACAGGATGTGGAGCTGCAACCACTTTTCACTTTTTCTAATAATGGAACAGATTGCCCTTTAACGTTATTGTCATCCTTGCTTCAGAACTGATCAGATAACAGACTGATGGAACAAGTATTGAGTATTTCAAGCTCACCTTTAACTGCATGGGTGCTGGAGAACTGAATGTTTCTGGAGGGTAATAGAAAGAGATTCTAGAATCCACGCTCAGCTTTTGTGAGAGTCCTACCTTTGGAACAGTAAATGTTTCTTTCTTTAAGCATGACAACACAGAAAAAACACCCAGCTGATAAATTTTCACTTCCACAAAGGTTTCCTGAGTAAAGAGAATGTACGGTTAGAGTACCTTGGAGGGAAAAGAAGTTGTATTCCGCAGTGTATGAGCATTTTGAGAAGACAATGTTATTTATAAAGCAAGGTGTGAAATGAAAATATATTTAATATTAATGCCACCTGGATGCCCAGTAATCTGGTGATCTCTAGTCCTCATGTGATGTCATTAATATTCCAGTGTATGATTGGGGTGAAATGAAATAAGCTCGTAAACTGGGTGATGAATCTGGCCCAAAGCAATTCTTCTGCAGTTAAAAAAAGAACCATCCTGTGTTTCCTTGAGGTGGAGTTTGGACTCATACACACAGAGTTGTGTTACTTCTCTGTGATCTGAATGCAAAATAATTCCCCTTAAGTTTTTATTTTTATCAAATAATGCCATGTATTACACTTATCTACAAAAATCATGAACCATTACTCAATCATTAGTATTGTGGGATCAAGCAATTGCCTTAACATTACGAGTGAAAAAAAAAAGACCTTGCTAAATACTAGGTTTCAAATAGAATTAGTTCTTGAGAAAGTAGCAAGAAAAGTTCAATTTAACCCCATGTAGTGGGCAATACAGCTTCATAATCACAACTTCACTTGTATAACTCCACAGAGGCTTAACTGGAAACTTGGAATGTTGTTTTTACAATGCTTAGATGAGAGGTTACGAACCTTATGGTTTCCTTGGTATCTCTCCAAAGAAATAGGAGTTAAGTAGTTTGATTGAAAGTTCACATTGGTCACCTTCACCATAATCTCCCGATAATTTCCTCTGAAGTACGAAGTAAATGGGATTGCAAGGTTGATAGGGAAAGGGATTGTTTTCTTATAATCAGAGCATTCAATACTGATGACATTGCTGACCAGCTCCTCAAAATCATCCACCACCAAGGAACTAGTGTCATTGACTATCTTACATTTCAGATTCTCCAGAGCAGTTGCAGGGGCTTTAATAAAACAAGCTACTTCATGTTTATTCTTACCACTCTCTTCCACTAGAAATCTGGAGAAAAAGAATATAAAATATTATTCTTTGTATTTTGGGTGGGGTGGTGTCTTGTATTTTTAATTAAATATTTTATTATAATGATGTGCTACATTGTAGCATAAGCAGATCATTCATTAAAATATATGTTTATGAATAGATGGGAAAATCATGAAAGTTTTTATGTTCAGCTTGTTCCAGAACAGCTTACAAATTATCATAAAACTCACTAATTAGGGTCCCTGCCTACTGATTTCCAACAATTTAGGAATTATTGACTTTACTGGCTGTGACTCCGTCCCTCTCTGGCATAAAATAATCTATGCAATGAAATAGAAAGTTACAGTTTACTTTAGACTGAATGGAAGCTCTTTATTGCGCATGCTTAAGTTGTAAACTACTATTATGTGCATGACCAGCAGCTGTTCAATACATGCATATTGAGTTTCTGGGCCCACAGATATTTATGTGTGCTAATAAGCAACATCTATGTACATCTGTTCCTAAAAAGAAAAATAGGTGCTTACTGTTTGTTCATCCAGTGCCTAGATTTTTGTACCTCTTCTGAATCATTCATAGAAAGATTCCCAGCAGTAAGATCACATGTTTGTGCTGAAGATGTGAAGGTAACTAGGTCATTCCTACAAATCTCATGATTTGTTTCCATTTTACTGTCTTCTGTTTGCTCTGTCAGTTTATATTCTTCACTTTCTACCCCTTTTGAAGATTCTTTGACTACTGCCTTTTTTTCCTGTTCAAAAAGATTTGCGACAGTTCTGTCTTTCAATGTCCCAGACAGAATGCCTTCCTCACTGCCCATAAAAGCATCTTGAAAAGCCAGCTCTGGAGACCTTTCAGTAACAGAGCTACCTCCATGAGGTTTATCCTTTCCATTGCAATCTTTTTTGTCTGTTACAGGGTTCATTAGCAGTCTGTGTTCACCATCTTCCTTTTTCATTGGAGGTTCTCTGCTAATGTCCTGTGCTCGAGCAGATATGTTTTCAGCTAATGATGCAAAAACCTCTTTTTCCACGGTTCTAATTTCAGTTGGCTGGATTTGATGAACATTCTGACTTTCTGTCTTGTTCAGGGAAGGAGTTCTTTGGGATTGCTGACTGGGACTAGAAGATGCTTGCACAGACTCTGTTGCTTCTCCTTCAGAACAACACACATCTGTTTCTCTAGAAGCATTTTGAGCAGTCTGGATCTGAGAATCATCATCTTGTCTGCAGCTAGCAGCATAAAGTTTATTTTCTGCCTCTTGAAGGTGTGAGACTGTATTTATCAAACAATCCTTCACTTTCTGCAGACAATCTATAATTCCATTGTATTCTGAGGGAAAAAAAAAAAAGGTAACCAATTGAATTTTGCTGTGAAACCTAGCCAAAAATGTGAAAACTCATATACATACCCAATGAATTCCACCTAATTCCATAGTGCCATTCAATACATGAAGCATAATGTATTTCCTGGATTCCATTTAATATTTTTGCATTTATTGCTATTCATTTTGAGTGAATTTCTCAAAAATTGAATATGGACAAGTACATTTGTGTACTTGCCTAAGCACAACTGTGTATTTGTCAAAATACTACTGTGGCAACTCTAACGAACACCGCTCTAATGATCAGACATTAGCTAAATTCTTAATGACAATCATTTTAAAGCATGGAATTGGTAAATAATAGTCAAATCAATTTGGGAAGAGCTTTGAAACTAAACATTAATTACAAATATTTCCTAAAATTGAATCCTGCAAGATTCTAATGCATGGGTCTCTAACAAACCTATTATGTACAGGCTCAATATTAAAAATGCTTAGCAGCTTTGAATTTTTGCTATGGAGAATAGAAGATAACACAAAAAAACCAGCACATATATACTACTGAAGCTGAGTAGTTTGTAGCATCCAGTTATAGGAATGGTGGAGGTTGCTCTTGCATATAACTAAAAACACTTGGTGAAGAAGGATGCACGAAAAAGCACACAATCACTATGTGACATTCATGTAAGATTTTATCTTTAACCTATTTATTTTATGATCCCTCATTTTTATTGTCTTACACCTTTTCTTGGAAATCCTTCCAGATATTCTCTCCAAGGATTTCAGCTATATTATTTTCAGCTCTTCCCTCACCTTATGTTGTCAATCTCTATAACTGGAACTGTGTCTTCATTAGTTAGGTATATTGCAAACCTCTCAAAATTGCTTGCTTATTTTTGTTTGCTGCATGAGATCCTGGAAAGCTTTGTTTTGCAGGTTAAATCCAATGAAAGTTAGTACAAATAAGAAAATGGTACAGAATGAAACACAGTATGGTGTGCTCTCCACTTATAATGGACAGAGACACACAAGGAGGGGACAATAGAAAGGGCTGATACAAGTCTTATGGGAAACCACTGGCTTACATTCACTTTTTTCAATAACGTTGTCCTGGTTTCGGCTGGGATAGAGTTAATTTTCTTCCTAGCAGCAGGCATAGTGCTGTGTTTTGGATTTAGTAGGAGAAGAATGTTGATAACACGCTGATGTTTTTAGTTGTTGCTGAGTACTGCTTATGCTAGTCAAGGACTTTTTCAGCTTCCCATGCTCTGCCAGGTGCACAAGAAACTGGGAGGGGGCACAGCCAGAATAGTTGATCCAAACTGCCCAAAGGGCTATTCCATACCATATGACGTCATGCTCAGTATATAAACTGGGGGGGGGTGGCCAGGGAGCAGCGATCGCTGCTCGGGAACTGTCTGGGTATCGGTCGGCGGGTGGTGAGCAATTGCATTGTGCATCACTTGCTTCGTGTATCATTATTATTATTATCATTATTATACTGTTACTATTATCATTACTATTTTACTTTATTTCAATTATTAAACTGTTCTTATCTCACCCCAGGAGTGTTTCTCTTACTCCTCCGATTCTCTCCCCCATCCCATCGGGGTAGGGGGAGTGAGCGAGCGGCTGCGTGGTGCTTAGTTGCTGGCTGGGGCTAAACCACGACAAACGTCATATGAGGTAAATCAATATCTCAAGGTTTTCAACTTGGAAAATAATTTTATTGAGTAAGAATGTCATCACACATCAATGTGTGATGTTATATGATCTACATAGGCCTTTCACTTCCATCTCTGTTTGCAACTGATTAATTTAAACCTACAAAGAGTATATAGTTCAGAATAAAGTATTTTTCTTGTTGAACTCAATCTAAAAATTCTTCCTTTGCAATACTTTCTCAGTTCCCAAATGATTTGTTATTAGATTTTGACTATATTTAAAAAAAAAAAAAAGCAGCAAACACATTTTTAATATTTTTTTTTCCACTGGCAGTTCAAAGAAAAAAAAAAAAGTTTGTTCTAAGGTACTGCTGTTTTTCCAGGGGCACTTCTACAATAGTGAAGAAGAACTTCTAAATAGTTTAACAGGGCTGAGAAATAAAATGGGATTGGATATAACATAGCTTAATTTGCATAAGAGGTTGTAAAAGACCACTTCCCAGTCTCACTGTAAGTCAAAGTTCAAGTTTCGGCAAAACTGCCAAAATTAACCTGTTTCGTCCCTGAATTTTGCATTCCCTAAACAAAACAAAAAAACCCAAACCAAATTGTACAGCTCTTTAAACGTCCCTAAAGTGAAATTTGAAGATAACGGGGTGATTCACAACAGCAGCATTTTCCTGTACTGTGAATGTGACTTTTCTAATACTGCAGTGCTTAAAGCCAGGCAAAGACATGGCCTTGTAACTTTACACTACCCAACTGTGTCACATGGAAAGACACTTTTTGCATTCTGTTACAAGGTTAATCTCAAAGTAAGCCTTCTTTCGTGTTACCGCCCACCACCGTCACTTTTCTAACATGTTGCTTTCTGTGCTTTTTTGATGTTTGATAACACAGCTTCAGAATACAGTGGCAGTTTATATGCAACTGTCTTCAGACCTTTTTGCTGACTGTTTTATGGGAAAGTGTCAGATGAGGAAAAGTAGCTTTTTGGAAGGAGAATGATACTGAATTCTTAGAAATCTATAAAAAAAACAAAAAAAAAAAAACCACATAGGCCATAAGGCCAACAGGGCAAAGTTAGCTTGATCTTGGAGCCTGGCAGCAGGTCATTTTTTTTACAAAAATGTTCTTTCATTATTGAGGACACTTTATAAACCTGTAGAACAAAGAGTCATAAACACAGGCATAGCTAAAGATTTCTGCCTGGAGTCTCTCTCTGTTATGCATCACACTGTTGACCGCCTTTAAATGCAGAAGTATTAGTTTTCTTTTCTACTTTGATGAATGTTTGTTAAGATGTTGCTCCTGAGGAAAGAGAGTTTGTTTTACTCATCACAAAATGATCCTGCATTTTTTCAGGAATAAAATCTGGATTTGGTCCTCACAATAAATAACACCGTTATTATATCCACATCGTTATTATAAATGCAAGAAATTAAATTCCATGTGTTTACCTGTGCACTAAGATGCCAGAAGTCTTTCTTATTTTTATTGTCATCTTTTTAACTATGTTGTTACTTGTAGAGGACTGTAGACTCTATACATTGGGTATACGTGGTGAGGTGCTGGCAGCGGGGGGCTGCAGGGGGGGCCTCTCTGAGGAGGGGCCGGGGCTGCCCCGTGTCCACAGCAGGCCCACTGCAGGGCACGGCTGAGCCCGTCCGCAAAGCTCACGCTGCCTCTGTGAAAACTTATTTAAGAAAGGGCAAGAACACCAGAGAACAGGGAGGAGTGAAGAAAAAAGTGTGAGAAACAGCCCCACGAACAGCAAGGCTGGAGACGAAGGAAGGGGAGATGTTCCAGCCCTGGAGCAGAGATTCCCTTGCAGCCCACGGGAGACCAGGCTGGAGCAGATGCCCACTCTGCAGCCCGCGGAGGACACCGCGCCAGAGCAGGTAGATATTCCCTGAAGGAACTGCAGTCCGTGGGGAGCCCAGGTTTTCCTGACAGGAACTGCGGGCCATGGGAAGGACCCATGCTGGAGCAGAGAAGAATAGGAGGAAGGAGTGGCAGAGGGGACGTGTTATGGACTGTCACCCCCATTACCCATCCCCCTGCGCTCCTCTGGAGGAGGAGGAGATAGAGGAGTCAGGAATGTAGGAGTGAAGTTGAGCCTGGAAAAAAGGAGAGGTGGGGAAAAGGTGGTGTTTTAATCCTTTGCCTTTGTTTCTCACTATCCAAATCTATTTCAATTGGCAATAAATCAAATTAATTTTTTCCCTAAGAGGACTCTGTTTTGCCCATGATGGTAAGTGGTGGTGAGTTCCCTGTCTTTATATTGACCCATGAGGTTTTCCATCTTATTTTCTCCCCCTGTCCTGTTGAGGAGGGGGAGTAAGTTGCTGGTGTCTGGCCAAGATAAACGCACCGCAGTATAATATGCATAAAACTTTGAAACAATTCTGTTTAGTTAATTTTATTTTTTTTTTCCTCTCACATAATGAGAATTACAAGTTTCATATTGAATCTCATGTAATAGACATGAAAACACTGTGATACAACTGTTGAAATATGAATTAATTTGGTCTAATGAACGACCAAATACTGAAATGCTAACAAATGAAAAGTAACATCCCTCAGCATCATCAGACAGCAGAACTTAGCATCCAACATACCCAGTCCATTCTCTTTACAAGTAAGTCCCTCCATACTTACCTGGACTTGCAGGCAATTCATTGTGTTTGTCATGGAGAGCACTCAGCAAGTGGCAGGTGTCTTGAATTCTTTCTGTAATGTTCTCCAGCTGTTGCCTGAGAGATCTGCTCAGCTCTGTTGTTAAAGAGATCAGTCTAAGCATGTACTCCACTCTACCTTCATTATCCAGATCGCTTTTCAAAAGCACATCTCTTGCTAGCAAGTTTAGGTGCCAGACTTTTTCCAGGAGGTGGCCTGATTTGCCTGCAGGTATACTCTTACCTTCAGCCATTTCCATTTTATGTTCAGAATATACTACTACAATTTTTTTTTTTTCTGCTCAGACACTTCCACAAGGTGTTGTCCTTGGTTCAGACTACTACACTGTTTAGTGTTTGTAGCCCAAACAGTGTTTTAAAAAGTACTGTATTCCACACGCACTGACAAATCAAACTCCAGCTCAGAAACTCTGAGTTGATGTTGACTATGAAAAAGTTACTAGGTGACAGAAGGGAGTGGCTCTCCTGTAACTACAGGCAAGGATTGCCAAGAAGTGCCAATGTATGCCATGCACCTTTAAGGGAGGTTATGTAACTCAGTTGACTTAAATTTCAGGAGTTCTGAGCAATTTCTCACTTCAGTGGCTGTAAATGATCAGTACCTATGAAATCAAGCTTAATTATGAATTCATAATTATATAGTCACCAACAACGAAGAATTGTTTTCATTGCAAGCTAACATAAAATGCTGTAGGTCACTTGATACCATTTTCTCACAACCATATTTCATTTGTTGGTTAGAGACATCAAATAGATGGGACAGGTCCAAGCTGCTATGCAGTCTGGATGATGTATTTGAATTATACGTAGGTTTCAGCAATACAAGAATCTACAAATGTAATTTTGTGGTAAGCAAGAATTATTTACTAGCAACAGACATTTAAAGAAACTTGCAATGTTTTCTGGGGTGTGTTTATGTAACAGGCAAAGAAACATACAGAAAAAGGCAGTAACAGCTAAAAGTTCAAATAACTAATGACTGAAATTTTGCTTGACCCTTTAGAAGTTGAGAAGCAAACTTACTCACTAAACTTAACTGCAGCATCAAGAATTGACTATGTAGGGTTCATGGGGAAAAAAAGGACTGTCCTCAAGAGTATCCCCATGAAAATGGGCAGCACTGCTTTCACAGGGGCTCACAACCATGTGCTCCTGGAGGCAACCTGGGAGGAAGGAGGGTCAGTGCCCGACAGGGCTCCTGTGCTGTTCGTTGTCTTCAGCGGGTGATATCTCAGCAATGATACCTCAATGACAGTATTTGCAATAATTTCCATTTCACCCAGTAAGTTCAGGAAAAGAAGTCTCACCAGGACAGCAATGAAAACAAGTGGAGAAACAGCACTGACATTCTCTTACTATGCTAGTTCGCATCTTGCTGTGCTAGGGGAGGACAGGCCTGAAACTCTCATTAGCGGAGTTCAGTACTGGGCTAAATCTGAAGTATCACATACACCAAAATACTTTATAGTTTAAGAAACATACTCCACAAATTGTTGGTACAGTGGATTTCCTACTAAACATTTCTTCTTATGGCCCCTTATAAATGTAATTAATGCAGCTTTAAATAGCAATTAAAATGGGACTGTAATATAAAAGCACACTGAAAATTGCATCTAAATATTGCAAGAACTAATAAGGTAATGTCAGTGGAGTGCTCTGAAGATGTAAAGCAGTGTATAAATGTTAAAATAACAACGAAAGATATGAAGTGTCTTTAATCAAACACATGAGCTGAAACCAGCTGCAATTATTAAATTGAAACCAGCTGCAATTTTAAATTCAAAAGGAAAGTTCCTTTTGACTCATTATAGTTTGCTTAATCACACTGAAAGTGTACTGCACAGCTAACACAAAAAGGTGTGTGAATCATTAACCTATTTACCATTTCCGATGGTCTAGCATCTCCACATTTTTCCAAATTATTCCTAGTAAAAAGGGAACTCTGAGAAGAACATATACTTTCATGTACAGGCAGTGAAAAATGTCATCTTCCTACCCAAAATTTTTGGAATATGTAAGGAAAAAAAAAAAAAAGATGAGCAAAAATGCATTATTATATATTTACTGTATAGTATTGCATAGGCCAACTTCTCGGTGTGAATCCATATTGTTCCCCTAACCATAGTATAGCTGGATTCATCAGCTCTGGATCTTTTCCAATATATGTATTTGCTTAGATTACTTCAGACTAAATTAATTAGTGATGTGCAGATGTGAGTTATGAAAAAAAGACATTAGTTTGAGTAATGGTAAAAGAAGATCTGATTTTTAAAAAGTAACTGTTGTGTGTGAAATAGATAATAATAAATGGACGTGTTGTTAGAATATGCTATTCATGGAATGTTGTAGAGCTACTGGAACACACTGTTATAAACACAGTTTTAGAAGAGATGACAAGAACTGATCTATATTCATGTTCCTTGCCATAAGCAAACTGTTTTGTTTTGGGGTTTTTTTTGCCAAAAAAATTCAATATCTAACTCCTGCTTCAGCTAATACATGCTATCTGTATAAATTGTTTATGCATATTTGAAAGAAGACATTAGTTAGTTTAGAAAATACATTTGTCTAAAACATAACCAATAGGAGAAGAGAAGCTATTCTGAATTTTAATGGGTAGTTGAAATAATTTCAAGCCTTAGAGATAATAATTTATATTTGACTTTCTCTGGAAACATGAATGAAACATGCAAAAAAATAAGCTTTTGGAAAATGATGAAGTACTACATGGTATAAGGTTCTGTAATTATAGAGTCATCTGTGTAAGAATTTATTGTAATTAGATAAGCTACATTCTTACTGACACAGTTACTATACAAGCACTACTGTTGGGAGACATTTGAATTTTAAACACATGATTATACATCCAATCTCATGGCAGAAAATGAGGCAGTAATGGCCACTGAAATTACAGTTGACTCTTCCAGCATTTTTGCTCTTCAGCAGTAGTAAAAAGAACGTATATTTAGGTTGTCCGAGGCCTTTAAATTCAGCTATTCATATAGCAAAAACATAGTTTCAGTTAAACAAAAATAGGTCCCACACCCTATTTTAATTTCAGTCCCAGTGTTGGGCTGTTCTTGACTAAAGAACAGGTTTTGTTCTTTGTGATATTTGCTACTAATTCACCAGTTTCTCCTTACCAGAAAAATGGTGATAAATTATGTAAGTGAAATATTAATCTTTGATGCTGTTTAGTGGATAGTCTTATGATTTAAGGTTTGTGTTTATGTACCATACTGGCAGGTATTAGACAATGCAACTATAAAGTCTTTGGGAACAATCAGACATTTTTTATCTGACACAAGCTCTTGCCCAAAGAGACCCAATTGTAGTAGTAGCTTTCAGGGCCCTGCATGCACCCATAGGCCTTCATGGCCCAAACCAACCTCACCTTAAGTCCAGGTGATTAGCTGGGCCATGTTTGAAGCCTTCTGAACACTGCAGATTGTAACAGTAAATGTTGCCGAAATGAGTAAAATATAAATGGAAAACATGAAGGGTAAAGAAAGTAGAGAACATGAGCCATTCAGAAATAATATAAAGTGAGTGTATATTCTCTGAAAATATACCACTCCCTACATTAATATATAGCATAGAGTATACAGAAGAAAATAAGATACTATAATAGATGACATATGTGAAATTGGAAGTCTCTTCAATGCAATATGATAAGGAATCTAGTACAAAGGTTATTTAAATTGAATTTATATCACGCAGTTAATGCTGGAGTTTTACAATGACTTTAAGCTCGTACTTATGTGAAGTCAAATTCAGCCTGGATTAGCTATCTGAGATGGTTTACTATGCAGCACACCAGCTACAAAGAGGAGGTTGAGACAGTAGGAATAAGCAGACTTGATAAGGACAATATTACTCCATTCTCCAACAGAGTCAACTTTAACAGTGAAACTATAGTTTGATCTTCCAGCTTTTACTACAAAATCCTGAGCAGAAGAAAAAAAGGCACACACACAAAAAAAGAGACATAAAGAAAACCAGTTCTAGGATATTGTATCAGAAGAAACTCACAAATTCGGCCACTGTGCATCCCCAGCCTCACTGGAAATCCTTGCCTAAAATATATGCTTTAACTGAGAAAGAATCAGGCCCATAAGGGTAGGATAAAGACACAAGCTATCATGTTTACCATTACATATGGACAGCAGCTAATTAGTCTTACAATAACCGACTAGCAGGAAAAGAGACATGGGAGTCCCGCAACCCAGTTGTCAAAATAGGGCCCTATGCCTGGGTAGGTAATATAATATAGAGGGAAGAAAATGAAAATAATTAAGGGACAATGTGTAAGAAATAAAAGTGCAGGAAAAATTGTGATAGATGTAGAATTGTTACTAGATTGTATCTTTTCAGGTTGTGTGTTGGTTTTTATTTATTTATTTTGTGTGAAAGAACTAATAACACAAGAGCTGTGCACTCACCTTCAGAGCTTAGTTCTCCATTGAATTTCACCTTTTTGAAGAGACATCCTATTCATCAGCAAGAAAAGTGAAAAATTGGCTCTGTGCTTGATTTTGTTTTAAAAAAATCCTATTCCTGGGTTACCTTCACTTTTAACTATATTCTGCAACTATTCAAAAAGTCCTTAGAAAATATTCCATTCCATATTAAATAGTGGCCTTGGATGTAGGAGGAACAAAGTAACACATTTAGAAAAATAGGGTTCAAAGTATACATTTAAATTAAGTTATCATTTAGCAGAGGTACATGTTCTTTTCAGAATACCTTAACACTGTTACATATCTGTTAATGACGTGGACTTTGCTCTGCTAGGAAGAGAGATTAGAGTGTATGATGCAGACCCAGTAAGTTCTACCTTTATACTAGGTGCATAATGCTAAGTTCAGTACGTGACAATAAATACATTTGGTGCATTTATTGATCTATTCATATTTGAAAATATGGGTGATGGTTTTTCTTCCTGTCCCTGGTATTGTAAGACCCAAGTGAGAAAACAATAATAGTATAAGAAAAACAAAGAAAGTGCTATAGATGTACTGTGCCATAGAAATTGTATTATATGCTCATGTGGATGGTTCTTTTAGCACTATACCATAGTGACCAGTGCTGGATGTTTTGAAGAAAGTAATAATCCCCTTGAAATACATAATTATGAAATAACATGGTTAGAAAAGCTGTATCTCTCCAAGCGCAGTCATGGTACTTGACATTAAGCCATCTTCACTATGAATTAGTGTGCATGAGCCTCACGTTAAGA